TGGTAGTTAGTCAGAATGAAACATAAAAATCAGCAAAACTCAGTAGTGTGTCTTTGTGAGGGATAAATCAAAATAAAAAATGACTCAGGTGAAAAGCTGGAAGTTTTCCTAAGACATATTTAAACTTTGAAGGCTTTTTATCATGAATTTCCAATTTCTGATACTGGTTAAAACTGTTTTCATTATTGTTATCAAAGCAGATCTTGGAATTGGCTTATATGTGGTTTTGATATTGTTTTAATGTTGGTTTAAGTTGTTTCCTAAGATCTGTTCAGAGGAAAGTGTCTTAACTATACTGGTGTGATGTTATCTTAGAAAGCACAGTGGATTTTCTTTTGAAAGGCAAGCAGCATTTCCTAAAGTTATTGGATTTGAAAACACAATTGAAGTAAATATTTTTAATTTTAATTTGGCTGTCACCAATAAGTTGTTTCTAACAAGTAATAATCAGAAACTGATGACATTTTACAATTTCTGGAGGCATTGATTGTTGTAGAGTATTGTATTGTTTCAAGCAGAAGAGGCAGTGAATCTGCCAGCCCATGATTTATTTTTTCAGCAGTTTCAGAGGAAGCAGGTCTGATAAGAATGCACAGAAACAAGTGAGCCCAATGGCCGATTTGAATCCTTATAATAAATACATTTCTTAATTTCACATTGTTAAGCTAAATTTTGTTTATTTTAAAATAAGCAAGCCAGGCATTATCATCTAGTAAAAATATTATTATTGAGAAAGCATGTAAGTCAAATGGTTGCCTTCTCAAAGGCTGAAAAATAGCAAATAAGAAAAAAGCAAAAAAAACCCCCACCCAGACAAACCACCAACCCCCAGACCCCCAACCATTTTGCAGGATGCTAGTACCTGCATTTGCAAAAACATGTGTGCCCCCCCCACCTTCTGGTCAAAGTTGTCCTGAAAGGAAGATAAAAGCAAAAATAAATTGGGCATAAGCAGTTCAATGGGAATAGTGAGAGTTTGTTAGCAATTATTATAAATTTTGTAAGTAAAATTAAAGGAAATGAGTAATAAATCTGTGGCCAGTTGTTTGGATGCAAACCATGCACAACCAGAGTGAATGGAAGCTTATCATTTATTTAGATAGTAAAGGATATGGTCTATACAGATGGTTTTAATAAACTCATTTGGAACAAAAGTGATCTGAAAAGTGGCATGAGTTCCTGGCTAAGTTTGGAGAACAATTAAGAAAAGTCAGAGTATCCTGTTGTTATTTCTGTGTGGTGTTTTGGGTGAAGAGGAATGGTGATAAAATAATTTCAGTTCCAACAGAAACTAGTGAGAATGTTTTAAATGTTGTTGAATGTGTAGAAAGGTGCTACTGGAGGGTTTTTTTCAGCTCTAAAACATGAGATGCAACAATGTTTTTCTCACGTAAACATTGGGAAAGCTCAAAAGGGCTGGATTTAATGATGTGAATGGGGTTTTTTTGAAAAAGAAAGTATAGTTGCTGATGAAGTTGATAGTTACCCAAGAATAATGTAGCAAGTGATTTGTATAGGAAGTTGTTTACAGTGCAATCTTTATGGCTTAGATGGAGTTAATTGAAAAATACGTATTTTAGTGTCTTAAATCCTTATAAGTGCTTTCTTCTTTTATTTGCTATATGTACATTTTGGATGGGTGTCTCTCTAGGATGTTTCATTATCCCTGCAGACAGAGAGGGCAGTTGACTGCAGTAAGGAAGTTGTCATCTAGTAAGAAACAGTAGACAAAAGCACTCAACTCTGAACATGACCATAGGTACTTTATTCTGTTGGGATTCTGAGCTCTGTGCTCTGCCTGAGGGTAGTTGTCTAAAAGAGAGGGAAGTGGCAGCAGAGAATGGGGGAGGCCTTTTCTTGCTGTGTTACATAGTCAGGAGCCTTCTTCGTTGCAGAAAACATTAAAAGTCAAGTCTGCTTGCATGCTAGTAGCTCATTCTTCTATCAGGGAGACAGAGGAGAGCTATCACATTTTGTTTGACTGTAGGTATCCTTTACTTCTATGCTTACTCTTTGTAGCAACAATGACTAGTCTTTTGATGCTTAGGGAAGAGAATGGGTTGTTTGCTCCCTTTTCCGTTTTCTTCCACTACTGATATGGTGAAACTGAATCTTCTTGTTTAAAAGTTTTGTGGAGGAGTCTACAGACCTTGATTTCTTCAAATATGGAGATTCCACAGCACCTCTAGGCAACCAGTCCTTAAGCACACTTGTTATGGAAAAATGTCTTCCTTATTCTTTCTTCAGGGAGAGCTGCTGAACCTCTGCCTGTCTCGGTTCTTCTAGGTGAGCTGGGTGTTTCTCTCTGACAATTTTGTATATCTTCACCAGTGAAACTTTGGACAAAAGAACATTTAAGCAGTTGTGTACGGGGTCTCCGAGTCCTAGCAGGAGCTAGTGGTGGAGTTAGCCCTCTTTTATGATGTAAGCATTTGAGGCTGGTAACATAAGGGTGCTGCAACCTCCTCTGTGGTGAAATTTTTATTGGACAGGTTGTGCTTTTTCATCAAGGTCAGATTATCTGGGATCTAAAGATGCCAGATAGAAACCAAAGGGAAAGGTCCCTTGTCCTTAATTCCCTGGGTGCTTTTTGACCCCTTGTTCAAAAAGTGTATTAGTGCTGTGGTGCTTAATTTATTTCATTCTATAGATACTGGTTTTGTTTACATGAAAGATATAAGTGTGCTGTTGCTCACAGCTATTCTGTATGTGAGCTCTATATTTTGGAAATTGGAATATATTAAGCTAGTAGTTTTTTTTTTTTTTTTTTTTTTATAGTCATGGAGTAGTGTTCCATTGGAAACTGGTTTCTTATAGTGAAAATTATTTACTTACCTAAATTTCAGTTGGCTTAGTTAATTTTTTAATGTTTCTGGTATATTTTGTGTATTTACATAATACTTTTTCATTATAAGTAAGTGTAACTGGAGTACAGCCTTAATTACATCTGAAGTAAAAGCCTTTGCCATCTGTTCATGTGCAACTAACTGAAAAAGAGTTTTTTTCAAAATTTCAGTGGCACTTTTCTACTGGTATAATGGCTGTATTAGATGTTTCTATTTGAGTTAATTTTTTGAAGGGGATTTAAAAATATTCTCCATTAACACCACATTAACATTTATCTGTCTTTAGTAAGATGAATCTGGCTTTAGGGCAGTTTGCAAGTTTTAGAAAAGTCCTTGTAAACACTTACTCCCTGAAGATATTTCAAGTAGAGAACTAAAGAAGACTGCTTTTTACGTTTTTTTTTTTTCAGTCTATCTGTTAATGATAATTTTAAAATGGTCTGTTGGAACTGTTCTTAAAAGCAGCTCAAGTTGGCACTTTATACTTTCTTTTCCCTACTCTTTTATTAGTTTCATGCTTTTTCTGTGTGGACTAATTCTAAAAACTATTTGTGAATGAAATGATGAAGCAGCCCAGATACTGTATTTAGTTGCAGATGGAATACTAGAATGATATGTGTTATGTTGACGATAACAGTTGGGTGTGTGCTTTTCATTTTCTATACAAATTAAAACTACCAATTTAGTAAATGGGGAGAGGGGACACCCGTCGAATGGAAGCAACTAGAAAAGATTTGTGCTTTAAGAAAAAAAAAAAAAAGCATATATGCAATTTCAGATACTAAGTACCATTCCATAGTCTCAACAATACTACTTTTATATTCAGCTCAGTTTGTCAAAGTACAGTTGGGTGGAGAAATTAAAAACCTTTAGATTTAGCAGAGTAGTTAGAATATCCAGATGCAAACAAAACTTAAAAAGGCCTGCAGTGAGGCAGTATGATGGGCTTTGTGTGTGGTGGTTTTTTTCCTTGTTGTTGGTGTGTGGGTTTTTTTCTTTTTTTGTTATAGGATGCATTTGCACAATGATAATTTACTTTACCTAATCTAATAATCTGCTAGATTATCTAATTGTGTAAGCCTGTCATTTTATGTCCTTAATATTTGCATACAAGTAAGCCTGGGTAGGAAGAAAACGTGATTATTTTTAAGGTGTACTGAAAGTCTCGTGACAAAAGAGTTCAGTTTTCTTCTTGGGGAAGAACAGAATCCACGCTAAATTATTAGCCACACCAAATTCACTTTCAGATGAGGTAGCTCTGTACTGCGTAATAGTACTCTTGTAATCCTATTATTAGTGTCAGTATATTCACATGTTCAGTTAGATATATAGCAGCTTCTGCTAAATTTACAGTTATGGCAAACTGTCCTCCACTGAAGCAAACGGACAACTCTCAGGATCTTAGTATTGAAAAAAGGCCTAAAATTATTAGGTTTCTTTCTGAATTGGTGTTTCTCACCACCTCATTCAACCAAATGTCAGATAGTTAGGAATGTTTATTACTTGAAATGCTATTAAAGCACAATATGGTAAATAACAAAGCATTTATTGATGACTTCAAGTTAATGAGTTAGAACAGGACTGCATACAGGAATTGATATTCCTATAAAAAATGAATTGGCCACACCTTTAAAGAAGGAAGAGATTTTGGTAGAGGGGATGTGGATGTGTGTGCATTGAGATTTCTTTCTAGCGAAAGAAGATAGCAGTCTAGTCAAATTAGAATGACTTCGTTTAAATAAAAATTGTACACAGAAGCCTTATATGATGGTAATGATTGCGTGAATACTATTCCCTTTTGTGGGAATTTGTATACCTTTTACATGATGACTATGTTAATCCAAGAAATTTAAAGAAATAACCTGGTTTTGATTTTGTGTGTCACTGTTTGTGTAAATCATTAGTATTTGGATTTCTTGGAGTATTGCTTGTATAAATTCTCCACTGAATAAATTTTAAATGTATTATGGCTCATCTAAACTTTGTATAATATAAAATGAAATCTAAACATGACTTAAGTAACTTATGTCTGTAATATTCTAAACAGTTCAAATAGTCCATGGAAAAAAGTGTAAAAGATTTTGTACTATAATTGAAATGTCCTTTGAGCTTCTAGAAAACACTAAAATTAAATACAACTGTAACTTTTTGTAGGTTGGGCTCATGTGGTTTGTGCTCTGTACATTCCCGAGGTGCAGTTTGCAAATGTTTCTACAATGGAACCTATCGTGTTGCAGTCTGTTCCTCATGATCGTTATAATAAGGTATAATTATTTGTCTTTTTATATCTAATGTATTTATTATAAAACTTGTGAGCTTTAATAATCTAAAATTACATTTCTTAGAATGCATTTTAGATAAAGTTCATAAATGTGTGCAGTAATGCTGTATGTTTTCTGCTATGACTTTATGATAAATTCAAGAATTAAGAAAGCTATATTATTAAATTAAGCTGTAAATTTATCTGCCATTCTCGTTATTCTTCTACAGATTAGGGACTGTTTTGTTAATTAAAAATATCATGATCTTTGAATAACAGTTTATTTTGAAAGGAATGTGAAATATTTCCCATAGGTGAAAATATTATTATAGCTTATTTGAAATGTTATTATTAATTACCACTAAGTCCTACTGTTTTAAGTATTGATATGAACATAGATGTGTTCATAAACATTTCTTCTAGGAAGAAAAATATGCTAATATATTAAAGCAAAAGCTTGCAGACTTTTGCCTTTGTAAACACTTCAGTGGGACTATTTGCTTATAGAAGAACTGCTCCTAAATAAGTGTCAGTGAGATGAAATGTTTTCTGAAGTGTGGTGAGACTTTATTTAAAAAGAAAGCAGAGCAATGCAATAGTAACTTACTAATGTCCCATAGTGATAGTTGAGTTTTCTACTTATTTCACTTGTGCTACCTCTTCCTCATTAGACTTAACTATATTCTCCTTTGTACTTTCCCTTCTGTAGGCAGAAAACTGTCTGAATTTCTGATGTTTTATTACATATTTTTCTTGTGGTGTTCTCCTTACCTCTAGTTTCTTTCTTTTACTTTATGGTGGTTTGTGTACACTGGGTTAAAGAGGAATAGACTGTTACAAAAGAAAGGGGGGGGGGGGGGGAAAG